CGTGACACTATCGTCCTAGCTCTTGCCGATCCTCACAGGACTTACGACCGGAAGTTGTGGTTAGCTTGTTCCTGAGGGATTCCTGACTCGTGTTCCTGAATCGTTCGTCTTATTTCCACCATAGTTCTTCTGTTACAGTTTGAGAGTACGAGTGCCTACCGATTGAGCATTACAGGCGTGGAAGAGTAAAGATTGTTCATGGAGCCTTAAACGGCGTGAACGCTTATACACGACAGTATTTACGGTATAATCCGGAGTCATGACCTATGCGTGATGTGGTCTGTAGTGCTCCTCAAACTATTCTCGCTGATTCAGGCACTCTCGCATAGTTGCCGTCTGTGGTTTTTAATTATATTGAAAATGACACTGGATGGCGGATGGAGCGATGGATGCTCCTCCTCTCCGAAACTGACGCCCCGTAAGATTTTCTACGATTTTTCAACATTCTTCGGCAAGTTTTCTACATATTTCTGTTTCAAAAATTTTTTCAGTGGAAACATTCCTTCTAAAAGCCGAGCAGCAAATGCAAGATGGTCGGATGCTGTTGCCGATCCTCGACCGGTTTTTACCACCAGCAGTGGAGCAGGAGATCATCCGCGCTGCCACCGGGACAACCGTGTCGTTTTCCTGTACACCTCTGGCGACGGGCGTCATGGATCCAAAACAGCTTATCTGGCGTCATAAAAACTTGATGATTTTCGCCAACTCCAGTGTACCACCGACCACGTCCGAGGCGTATTTCTATACGCACGCCACACATGGACATGCCAGCCACTTTTTCCTCCACAACATGACCTTTGGCGCTAGCGGGACCGTCCAGTGTCTACAGTACTGCAACGACAGCTTATGCGTGGTGAAGCGATGGGAACTCGTGGGGAATTCCGCTCGGCGAAAGAAGTCTTTAAGGGCGACATTACAATTAGCAAAACCCCAAAAACCCAGTTCCGCGAGCGTTCCTGGATTTCTTTTACGTGCACAACTACGTACAGCTGCGATTGCGATAGATATCCGAACTTCATCTGGAAAGCGGACGGGAAATTCATGGATGTGCCCAGGGAGCAACAACGCGGGATGACGGACTACTTACTCACAGCTTTTGATTCGCGAACCATATCGCTAGTTGGGCTGACGACAGACTATATTGGTTTGAAATGCCGACTCTCTACCGATCCAGTAAAAGTGCCATGTCAAATGAACCTGACAGCAATTCAATGGCTGGTAATTCGTCAGCAACCAGTCGTGGTCGAGTGCTGGGTTCAACCGGACCGCACTGTAAATGAATGGTTCGTTCAGAAAGTCACTATTGACGTTTCTGGCCAAAAGATATGACATGGTATATCACATAGAACTGACAGAAGTATTGAGTATGTCTGTGATACCTTTCTGTTTTTTTGTTACAAATTTTTGTGCGCTTCGTTAGTTATATTTCCTATAATAATGATCGACCACCATCCTTTCTTCAAAAGAATGGAGAAATGCACACGCCTAATATTAGCGCCAAGTGTAAAAATACTTCGGTAGAGTGCATGCAGTATGGTCAACCGTTCAGTAGTGTAATACAAAAAATGTAGTGTAGTGTAAATTAAGGCTTGGGCTAATACCACCACAGTTCACAACAAAACGGAATCGTCACTACAGTCCACATCGCAGTTTGGTTAACTGCACTGCAGAAGGTCATCTGACGTTTTACTATATGCACTCAGGGCCGTCGTTAGACCCCTATCCAGTTTTCAAAACACTACTCCTCCTACAGTTTCCATCCGATAATTTTTCTGAATACACCATTGAACTCAGCGTAAAATTCTGAACAAGATGATTGAGGCCGATTTTTGAAATTCGAATTTCCCCTGGATCGACTACCACGGGCGGTTGCCCTGTGCGACAGGTATGTTTTTGGGGCTTTCTCCCCTGGCCCCCTAAACATATTTTGACACTAAAAAACACTAAAAAACACAAAAAACAGTGCATAATGCACTGTAGTACGCTAATGGCACTAGCACAGTCAGTTGACCGATGGTGGTAGTTGGGACCTTCGACTCGTCTCGTTATTTTTCGTTCTTCGCGATATCGCTCGGTGCTGCTGAGCTTTTTCGGTTTAGTATTAATTTTCTCTTCCTCAATCATTGCAAGTTCGTTTTAGTTTTGTTGTAGCATTAGAAATTCATATACAACGTTTTTCCCGCACTCATGATTGAACAAAATATTGCCTTCCGTGTAGCAGTAAATGGCAGCGTAGAAGCAATCGTAAATATCATATTTTCGTTGTGCGTTTGGAATATTCAGTTGCGCTATCCAAGTTTTAATCCATTTAATAACATGGAAAACGCAGAGTGTGTGCAATAGTCAATTGATTACTTGTAGTTGAGCGTACATACTGATAGGCAGATTCCGAAGGATTTCTAATTGCATGAAACTCGAATAAGCAGAAACTTTATGGAAACTATAGCTTTTAAGATCAGTATATAATAGATGTCTTAATTTTTTTCCAATTTCTTTTGTTTTTCGTTTTCGATTTTACTGTCGTCTTTGACAAAGGGCATTCCAAATGTGAATTTTGCTAATTTTGCACTTGGCGGTGTAAAGCGTTCCGCTAAAATTCAGAGTGCCCTTTTCTCGTAGGTTAATTGGCTGGTTATTCGATAATCGGATTTTTCTAGGCGCAGCTAATTAAGTATATTTCTACACGCTATTTCCGCAGTTTTGCGGTTTCCCGGCCAGCAGAACCAGCATGCTACCTGATGCAACGTCCAGCTGCAGCTGTGTGTATGTGCTGCCTGTAGACGACTCAGGACTGGAGAACATGTGTTTTCTCTGATATCTGAATGTTACCATAGTGTATCATTTGTGCGCTTATTGGGATGTTGCTCACGAGGCAGTCGATACTCGATAGCGGAAACTGAAAAGGACAGCGGAGTTAAAAGCAGACCGCAGTGAAGCCGTCTTATCTGTTTATCTGTACAGTACCCATACACGTAGAAACCGTTCATAGTAATGCTGGGAAACGAAGCCACTGTGCTTCGGTTAGAAAACCCTGTTATAGACAGGATGAGAGAAAAACCGCGGATAATCCGGGGCAGTTTTTGCCACAACGTCTGCAATAGACGTTCATGGAAAGCTGTTAATAATGCAGCTGCGAGACAAGATCAATAGACGGCTTATCGATTCTTTTATTCTGTTAGTTTATTTAAACCGCGGCGAAGATGTTGTAACTTGTGACATGCACACCTCGATACAAGAGATACACGTGAAATCACCAGTTTATTGTTAAGGGCACTGCTTGTGGCCATTAAATTCATTTGCGACCTTTAAATATGAATTTCTTCATGATCATCAAAATGACGGAAGGCAGGTGGACGATTTTATCCGATTCTTGCCCGTACCAGGAATAATTAAAGTATGCGTTGCACCATACACGTGACTTCGCGTGCGCTTTTGAATGATCGATGCTCTCCCATTCGGATTGCTCTTTAGCGTAATCGCGGTTCTCCTTGATCATACGCCAAGGAAAACCGGGATTACGCTAAAGATATCTTGGACTATGCCTTTGCCATGATAGTCAGGACACTGGAGTGCCAAGCGATATCTTCCGTTCCAGTTGCCGGAATGCAAGTTGCGACTTTGTATTATTTATTTCATAATTTAGATGTACCCGTGCTTCAATGGTAATTTATCAAAAGCTGCAGCTTTAGAGTTTTGATGAATGGGAGCAAATTTGGAGGGTACGTTTCTGCCGTCGCTTGTGCACTGGAACTCAGACTGAGACTGCTCTGCTCTTCCATTCGACTGCTAATACAAAGAACACTTCGAAAAGTTTTCGGAAAAGCTTTCTAAAAACAATTAAAATTCACTACGGACCACTTCGGAAAATAGGGAAGTTTCTTAAGAGTCAGCGGCATTAAGACTATGAATGCCCAATACTAACCACGTGTTGGCGAGTCCATAAAAACCGGTTTAAAGGTTGCACGAGTATGAATAATACGACTGTACGAGTATGAATTCGTATAGAGAACGACAATCAAATGCTTATTCCACTTAAATACTGCAAGGCGATGCGTAGGAGTAGGGTTGTCATCACGTCATCACACACTTTCACAATCACGCCGTCTTCCTGCTCGCAATCCCATCATGCCGAACAATTGCAGCAAAAAAATGTGATGAGTGATGGGACGGTGATGTGATGGGATGAATTTGTATTGTTAAAAATGAAAGGTCAAAATCCGGCACCTGAACTATAGCGCGCTGCGCCTCGGCAGTGCATACATTTCTAGATAATAATAACCTACATTTCTAAGTGATTCTAACGAATTCGGTGAAGGAGCAGTTTAGAATCGAGAAATGCGAATGGTTGCGCTGATTCACATACTGTTACAGATACTTTGAGGCTTGATTGTGAGTGACTTGGTTCACCGCTGATTTGATTTTATGGAAAAGATACTTGCAAAAAGGTGTAGCAATTTGATATCGTCATAGTCATTGGGCAAGGCTTGATTTTGCAAAATTACAGTATCAGTATCTGCCAAAATAGACGGCGATTGGGATGCTGAAGTGACCATTGTGGAAGATAATGATACGATACAGTACTTGACGTAATTCGTCAACGGCTTTTTACTTCTTGAGAACTATTGCGAGAACCATCAGATTCCGTTGCGTGCGATTTTTGGGTTTTGACTGTTGTTAATTTGTTGTGATTTACTAATAACGTCGGTTAATAAACTTTCTTTACGTTTGTTTCGAAAGGCTTCTTTATTGTAATAAAAAACTAGCAAAAAAGTTTTAGTTTTATTTGCGAAAAATATGTCAGAAATTAATCAATAAATTAGCAGTCTATCCCACATTCCCATCACATCCCACGTACCCTCCAAAACCTTGGTGGGATGACAACCCTACGTAGAAGTACGGTTTATATAAGTACACATTTATACACAGTGCAAACGCATCGACTCGAGTGTAGAGAGTGGACTACTTACTAAGGTCTAGACACATTCCTGAAATCTGCAAGGCATGCAAGCTGCGTGGCATTAGGCTGTAGCCTGTACAATTGTACCGCAGTCTCTAGGCACGCCATTGGCATAGTCATTTCATAGGATTTCCATACGAGTCTTATGCACCAGATAACGTTCATATTTTTTCCCTTTTTATTGTTCTCGGTCCTCCGATGATTTAGCAGGATATACTTTATCCCATGAATATCTGCCCGTATATTTTGCTGTTCTGGGTGTCCTCCAGGTTTTTGCTAATTAAGCAGTTGACAACTGAAATTTGAAACTGAATTGCAAAATTAATATTACTGTAATGCCTGTCCCGCGGCGATGAAACCCGAAGCTCACGCTTCTCGCCAACATCCCGTTTCGCCCGACCCCGTTGGCAGGATGTCCGTCCTCCCGTCCTCTGACACCCCCGCGCCCCCGGGCGGGCTCCCGAACGATAGCGTCTTCACCTTCGAGACCCTGGTGGACCTCGCCGCCCGGATTGATCCCCTGGTCTGGCTGTCCTCCGTCAGCTACCACCGCCACAGTATCCTCTTCTACCAGCTGCATTGGGACGTGGATGCCGTGCCCACCGTGGCCAAATCGGTGACGCTGGCGTGGGGCGATGAGGAGGCGGGGGAGAGTGGACTACCCATCCCCCTGCTGTGTATCGGGGAGAAAAGCTGGACCCCACGTGTGGACTGCTGATCTTGGGGCATCGGGAGGTGCGCGGGGAGGCCGATGTGCGGAAGCTGTTGGAGCATGTCAATCAGTGCCCGGCGGAGGAGGTCGTGCAGGAGATGGATAAGGCGGAGATGGGTAATGGGCAGGTGCTGCACAACGGCACCGTCGGAGGTACAATTTGAGCTATTTCTGGTGTTCTGTTCTCGGGATATTACAGTATTTCGAACATTATTAACAGAATATTTAGGAATTCCATTATTCCAAATATTTTTAAAATTTGTATCTGGAATAGAAGTTTGTTTTTAGGATTATATAACCTAGTTCAGTTCTGGTTTATTATTTTGTTTTCTCAGGAAATGCCGTAGTCGCATAGAAGTTGTTATTTTCTATTGAAGAACACTTTAAAAATAACAAAAAAGTTTTAAATAAAAGATAAGGGTAATTAACCAGACCAGGGAATGGCTTCATAAAAATAGGTAGCAGTTACGGAAAACTTGCTTCTTGTCCCCTTGCTTGTTACTAAAACATTTGAGCAGCAAAACGCTGACTGGTTTTTTCGCCATCAAATATGTGCAAAAATTGTGTCATTGTTATCGTGAAAAAATGCAAAAATGTTTCCCAGAGAAAATTAAAACATTGATTTTCCGTTGAAAAAGTCCGTATGACACGTTCTCATTTTGTTTGCCGTGAAAATTATTATACGTACGTACACGTCGTACAGTATACAGATATCTGTACTGTAATGCGAGAAAACGATATACAATACAAGTATTACGTACTCTTTCGTATCTCCGGGAGACCATTTTTACAATTTAATGCTACGCCATTAAACCAATAACTACTAAAATTGTTTGAAATAAAAAATTTGGTTTAATTACAATTTTGTCATTTTGCTGTTGCAACTTAAATCTGGAAGACGTTTAAGGATCGCAAAGCTTTCAGGCCCAGTTTGCCGCTGCTCTACCAAATCGCATTAATTTGACTCACCAGGGCACATACCGAAGCTATAAATTCAGAAAAACCTCATTTTTGGCAGAAAGGTAGAACAACTACGTAGGATGTTTAAAAAAATTATTTCATGTGCCATGGCCAATGGGCGTGGCCAAAACGAAATTTGAAAGTAAATCCTACACTATGCTGTAGCCTACAACCGTGTCATACGGTAAAACTTTAAACGATTTTCTTTAATTTGTATACAAAGAAGCTTTCGAATATTACTTGTAAGTCATAGCACACAGAAGTATTCCCAATTCAGCCGCCTGCGAAACGGGTTTGTAAATGGTGTGCAATGCATGCTTTAACTTGTTTCGCATGTCGGTACAAACGTGTTACCTACCGAGTAGATTTTGTAACTAGTTAACAGAATCTAAACACAATCTGCAGAAAGGGAAACAACTATTACAATAAGCGAGCAGCACAGATAAATATATTTTAAATGAGTAAGCTGCCTTCGTACTGATTGTGCAGTATTATAAGTCTTTTAGTGTATGATGCGAAGCATTTGCTATAGGCTATGGCACAGTGTAGAATTTATTTCTGAATTTTGTTTTGACCACGCCCTGTTGACCATAGCACATGAAATAATTTTTCTAAGCATCCTACATACATAGTTGTTCTACCGTTCTGCCAAAAATGAGGTTTTTCTGAATTTCTAGCTTCGGTATGTGCCCTGGTCAGTCAAACAACTTTTCGTATCGGCATGTTCGTAACTTCGTACGTATACGATATTACAGTTATGTTATAGCCTCCGCCGCCCTGCCAATCATCTCCGCCGAGCAGGCACGCGATATCCTCCTCCTCTCGCAGAGTCTGCCGCGCGTGGAGACCCTCTCGGACCCGGCTAGCATGGCCACCCCGCTGCCTTCTCCCCCGTCCTGCGGCGGCAGGCCCCGGCCCGCTCCATGGCGACGCTCAACGGCTACCATCTGGACGACACGCCCACCGGCACGCCGCAGCCCACCTTCCTGGCAGCGGGCGCGTCCTTCTCCCGCAAGCGCAAGCCGGTGGAGTGCGACGTGTGCCACCAGATCTACTCCACCAAGCACTCCATGCTGCTGCACCGCCAATCACAGCATGAACATCTGCGGCACACCTGCGAATACTGCGACCGCTCCTTCTCCTATAAATATGACCTTTACACGTAAGTACCGGGAGCGGTATGGTCTGCGAGCGGAAATTCTTGTCGTCGATGCCGGTAGAGTTTTTCTTCAGTGTAAAAAATTTTCAGTGCTTTATGGGGGCTTCTTCGTAATTATGTCGACCGATAATAATTTTTGAGTTTTAATATAAAAAACCCGCAGTTCGAGGCTACAAAGTAAATTTTATCAAATTGTACATAAGTAAAAATATATATAAAAAATGAAAAATTTATGTAAGAATTATTATATAATTTTATGTAAGACTCGTAAGGAGCGAAAATTGTAGTAGGAGTACATAATAATTATGATAAGTAAGTAATGTATCAGAGGTAAGCTTGAACGCGGCGACTGTATAATAAATACTGAAAATTTGATTGCATGGCAATCCTTGCATACGATCCGTATCAAAGACCGGGCAAGACGGAATTTACTGTGTTGTGTGTATATTTCGTACTGTTTTTGTGTTGTGTGTATATTTCGTCATCGGTATATCTTACGCTGGCTGAACTCGCAAGTCAGCACTAATATTTCTAGTTTATGTGCATAGAGGGGCTCCAAAGTCGAACCGCGCTGAATGTCATACGTTCTAATTTCTGTAATATTACTTAATACGAGTGTTTTTGCATAGAAATAATTATATGCACTCAAATTTTCCGACAAGAAAAAGTTTCACTGACATTTAATGGGCTGTTTTTATGGTAATGTATTTTTATCGTAGTTGTTTGTGCTAACGGTGCAGCACTGATGGTGTGGTTTTCCCTCGCAGGCACATGACCAAAGCCCATCCGGAAGTGGAAGGACTGGGCGCCAACTGTGAAGTGTGCGGCGTGTTGACGCACTTTGCCGTGTTGGAGGGCCATCAGAAGAAGTGCGGCCGGAAGGTCGTCAAGCAGAACGGCGGTGGTTAAATAGCGCAGTGCGCCTGCTGGACCGCTGGTGCATTATTCGATGATCTCTTGACCTTTCCTCCCGGGACCCCTTCTTTCTACAGACGTATTTTCCTACACAGATACATACCCTGCTTTTTTTGTACTGTACAGCATATAGAACTAGTTTTGTGATGTGAAACTGCGGCTGGTTTCTCTTATAAAAATTAACTTTTTATGTTTGAAAGTTTTTGAGAAGTGTGGGAATTTGTGTGTTTTGATGCTTGATGGAACATATCATTACGTTGACTCCGATGACTTTTTCGGTGTAAAAAAAGAAGAAACAGAAGATTTTGAAGATTAAGACTGCGAATGAGTAGGAATTCCAAGCAGTTACACAGTACAGTAATTGCTTTGGAATCGTGCTGACGTGCGATGTCAGTCACAGACTCACAGTAAATGCGCTTTTTTATTATTAGCTTAGTGTATCTGGGAGCAGACAACTCTTGTGTCTGGTTACCAAATCGTATCGCAAAGAACAAGATGCCTAACATAATGAGATTACGAGTCCATCCATGTTATAAGACGATTTCTGTCGTGCAGTTTTCGAGTTCGAAAAAAAGTCACATTTTTGTTACTATTGACTATGATTACCTTTTTGTAAACCGACCTCAGATTCGTTTTCAGCGGCCTCAAATAGGTAAGAAAATTTTGTTATCATCTATTTCTATCGTATACCTTTGAGCGGGGACAAAGAACTTAAAACGGTAGAAAGGTGAAGTCAAAAGTCCGCGGTATTGGTTCGAAGGTTCTCATTCCACACATCTGAGCAGTAGTTCCAGTTCCGTATGTAATACCATACAAGATACTGTTACAGTAGTCGGTTTGACTGCTGTTCTAGTGGGTTGGTTAACCCTCCAGCGGGCGGTACCCGAAGGAGTGCGAGTTCCATTTTGAAAATTGGGATTTCCCGATGAAAAAAATCAATTAAGACAGGGAATTTTTTGTAAGCTTGTGCTGACCATAGGTCAGCCGTGGTGACTAGGGTGTTTGCCAACGCCAATGCCCATGAACGGTTTACAGCATAAAAAGGTTTAATTTTGTGATAATTAAACGATGGGGAATTACATAAAAGCAATAATTTCATTAAATAGTACAAAAAAGCACTTCCAAACAAGAGCACAGCAGTGGTCAACAAGTTGACCACTGGTCAGAAAAAAATAAAAACTACCAAATCACGTTGCCATGTGGAATACAGAAAATAAACGATGCTAACAATATTTCTCTCCCATAACTTTCATTATACTCTCATACGAGACTGCACGAAGCATAATTTTTGAAGTTTAACATTGCATTTCCTGTATGTCTGGCACGTCTAGCCGCCTTTATACTGCCCGCATTGTGCGCGCTTGCATTTTTCTTTGGTGTGGCCGCAAGTGCCACTATCTAAAAAGCGGCGCGGATAGTCCAGCTGCACTGGTCATTGGCGCAAAATGAGATATTAGCGGTTACTGGTCACTAGCTCCTTCTGGAACGCATTAGCGACCGGAAGAAACTAGCTACGCTGCCGCAAAGGTCAAGATCCGCAATGTGCACGCGTAAGTGTGCAATTACGGTAGTTTTCAACCGCCCGAGACTGATCACCCAAAATTCATGTTTCTGAAAAGCTGTGCAGCTCTCGCCTAGCTTACCCAAGCGATGCATCAATATGTAGAAACGCGGCAAAGCGCGTGGTGTTGTGCCGCCATTCAATGTTACTGCAGCGACGGTAGAATTACAATCAGGACTACCATGTTCGGTTAACCTGCGTTCTGTTTCCCTGATGCAGACAAATTTAGAGGCGATTTTGGTTTTCGCCGACCGCCCGGGGTGTTGATACTCAAAAGCGTTTTTTGCCAGCATCCGACCAACAGAACCGCGTGGCGCATGTTTTGCGTACGAACCGACAGTAACTTGATCTGATTATGTGATAAAGAGAAATAGTCGAAATTGCACCCGCCCGTGTATCTGAGACCCTTCATGGGCAATGGTGTTGGCACGCAACACAAGTTTTTGACGGACTGTGGTCTTCTACTGTTCAACTTACATGACCTGTGTTAATCGATTTTGGATAGAACATTGTTAGTTGTACCTTGTTGATTTATCTCTGGTTTAATTATTCATCCACTAATTAGTTAATCAGCAAGATCTACGAGAGCTTGAAAGGTCCGAAATTAGCCATTTTCGGGCAACGGTCATTTGTAATTAACTTGAGATATAAGTTCGAATTATGTTTTTACTGCTGCTTTAAAGTCTCTTATTGCTAATTATGCTAATTGATATCCATTAACTGTTCCCAATCATTCGGAAAAAAATTCAGAAGACCATGTTGCGTCCTGACGCCAATGCCCGTCAACGGGTTAATCCACCTTACCACGATCTGTCGGCTGTTAGTGTGGGAAAGGCTGGCACGGTCGGCAGCGATGCTGACCGGAAGCAGACTACCATTTACAGGGTGATAAGACGGTGGGGATGCATGATCATCCCAATGCGATTAAGCAACACAAAACAAGGTCATCGCAAGTGTTTATTAGCAAGTACACGTATCAAGATTCAGCGAGCAATGCAAGCTGAGGAGCAAGAACGCACAAGCGTGGAGCAAGAAGCGCGAAAGGCGCGGAGCAAAATTCGGAGCAAGCTGCAGCAAGACTAATTTCAAGATATTTCTGACCGTGAGATGCGGTCGGTAAAATGCAAGAAAATAAGGATTCTGATCTTCATAACACAACAACCAATAAACAGTACGAGAGAAAGGCAATTAACACTCCTACTGGCGGTACAATCCAATGTCTATCGCTACAATACGGTTCATTGCTGCAATATTACCGGAATTACGTAACCGCCGTGGCGTCGATCTTGTGCCGCAGTCGTCATAGCTTCGATATAGTAGTCGTCAAGGGCTTCATGAGAATCGTCGAACCGCGCTCACACAGCTGTCAACCGTGGGAATCAGCTATCGCCGCGTACGTACCTGCATTTGCGGCTGCGTAATAACGCGAAGTCGTGATTCGTGATGTGGTCGGTAGGGTTCCCCAATGTGTGCTTGCCGATTCAGGCACTGCCAAATAGTTGCCGCTTGTGGTTACTAGTTCTATTAAAAATGGCATTGGATGGAGGATGGAGTGATGGATGCCCCTCCAGCTCTCCGAAACTGACGCTCTGTAATACGATTTTTTTGAAATCTTTCTATATTAACGTATTAAATTGAAATTTATTCAGTAGAGGAATCTCTGCTCCAAGCCGAACAGCAAATGCAAGACGGCCGGATGCTGTTGCCGATCCTCGACCGGTTTTTACCACCAGAGAAGCAGGAGATCCTCCGCGCTGCCATCGGGACCACCGTGTCCTTCTCCTGTACACCCCTGGCGACGGGCGTCACGGATCCGCTTCAGCTTATATGGCGTCATCATAACTTACTGATTTACGCCAACTCCAGTGTACCACCGGCCACCTCCGAAGCGTATTTCTACACCCACGCTGTCCACGGACCGGCCAGCCACCTGTTCATCCACAACGAGAGCATAGTATTACCGTGCAGACGTATCGTTTAATTCAACTTTAATCTCAAATTTGCGTGAGCTGCAGCACCGGATCAAAACACCGAGGCGGTGAGCAGGCGACGGGCAGCGCTGGCAGTACTTTGTTCAGTGTGACTGCTGCCAAATTACGTGCAAATTTTAAATATTCGAAAATTTATAACTTTGTGTATTCTTTAGTAAAAATTGTATCCATAGGCTTGAAAAATACATAATAATATAAACTTTTTGACAGTATGAATGCAATTCTTTTATTTCGATCGCAAAGTAACGATAGGACTCTCCGCATTTAACATAGTCCTCTATGAGAAAATGGATAAAAGCCAGCACCGGGTTTGCCATAGAGGAGTATGGTAAATGCGGAGAAATGGTATCTTTACTTTGCAATCGAAATAAAAAGATTGCATTCATACTGTCAAAAAGTTTATATTATTATGTATTTTTCAAGCCTATGGATACAATTTTTACTAAAGAATACACAAAGTTATAAATTTTCGAATATTTAAAATTTGCACGTAATTTGGCAGCAGTCACACTGAACAAAGTACTGCCAGCGCTGCCCGTCGCCTGCTCACCGCCTCGGTGTTTTGATCCGGTGCTGCAGCTCACGCAAATTTGAGATTAAAATTGAATTAAACGATACGTCTGCACGGTAATACTATGCTCTCCCACAACATGACCGCAGACGCTAGCGGCAGCGTGCATTGTATGCAGTATAGGCACAACGGTAGCTTGTATGTTGTGAGGCGATGGGAGCTCGTGGGGAAATTACGCTCGGCGAAAGAAGTCTTTAAGGGCGATATTACCGTATCCAAGGTACCAACAACTCAGTTCCGCGAGCGTTCATTCATTTCTTTCACCTGCACCACGGCATACCAGTGCGAGTGCGATCGATATCCGAACTTTATTTGGAAAGCGGACGGGAAATTCATGGTTGTTCCCAAGAAACACGGGATGGCGGATTATTTACGTACATCTTTCGGTACGGAAACTGCACCTCCAAACGGGCTGTTGGCCGACAAGCTGTCGTACCAGTGCCGATGGCCAACCGATGCCGAAAACATTCCGTGCCAGATAACTCTATTAGCCATCGAGTGGCTGGCCATTCGTGATCAGCCAATGGTGGTCGAGTGCTGGGTGCAACCGGACCCAACCGTTAATGAATGGTTCGTTAACAAAATTATGATTGATGTTTCCGGCCGAAAAATATGACCATATTTTGTATTTCTTAACAAATCGTAGCCGACGACCAGCCGTTATATATTTTTTACAAAAACTACGTACGTATTTATGGATAGCGTCCTTCTGCACCTACCTCGCAAAACACAAACATGTGCATGTTTGACAGCAGGATTGACAATGTTGAGAGGTCACCCGGCAAATATATGGTACAAGAAACAGCCTCGGCTTCGCCTCCGCGTTTCTTGTGGTCCGTGGCCATTTAATTTCAATTTGAATGAATATTTATTAGAATAACATCTATATTTCGTCGAAACATGATCGGAAAATGCAATAGGGCAAACACGAATTTTATATGAAAATCAGTTAATGATCCTTTCAACCTTGAAAGCATTACCTTTCGCTGTACATACAGATAATTTTTACGATCTTCCCTAGACCCGAAAAAAAGCCGAAATACTGTATCAGTCTATAAGGTATAAATTCGAACCAGTGACAGTGCACTGGATCACTACGAGTAGTTGGGTGACTCGTCACTTCACTGGCTCTTCTCACTGGAAAGTGGTGTGTGCCCAAAAGTGTACATCCGGTCAGTAGTGGTACCTCGATTACTTGCTTACCTAACCGGTTCTGTTCGCCGGACAGTAGTGGTAGCTCGGTCACTCGTTCCCTAAAGGGCCTTGCACACTGCACAGTAGTAAGTCACTCGTTCCCTATTAAACGGGCTCTGTACCCTAAACGTTAGTGATATCTCGGTCGCCCGCTCACCTACCGGGCTCTCTGCAGCGGTTGGTAGTGACAGCGCGGTCACCCGCTCCCCTCCCGGGCTCTGTGCACGGACAGAAGTGGTAACTCGGTCACTCGTTTAAACGGGCTTTCTGCGCCGGACAGCAGTGGTAGCTCGGTCACCCGCTCACCTACCGGGTTCTTTGCACTCGTTTACCGAGCGGGCTTTGTGCACGAGATAGTAGTGGTAGCTCGGTCACCTCGGCTTCGCCTCTGCGTTTCTTGTGGTCTACGGGTGGTCGATTCGCGGAGGCAAAGCCGAGGCTGTTTCTGTTTTAATCGTTTTTATTCGTACCTGTTGGCTCTGTCAACTGGACTACAGTGGTGGACTCGTAGTTCGGTCACTCATGTGCACTGTACAGTAATGACAGCTCGGTCACTCGGCTCTGTGCACGGACCGCAGTGGTAACTAGGTCACGCGCTCCCTAAAGGGCTTTGTACGCTGGACAGTAGTGACAGCTCGGTCACCCGCTCACCTCCCGGGCTAGCTCTGTGCACGGACAGTAGTGGTAACTCGGTCACTCGTTTACCTGACGGGCTTTCTGCGCCGGACTGCACTGGTAGCTCGGTCACCCGCTCACCCACCGGGCTTTGTGCATCGGACAGTAATGGAAGCTCGGTCAACTGCTCACATAGCTATCCATACAAGTAGTGGCAATTCGGTCACTCACTGGCTTATCGGGCTATTTTAACTAGAATATAGTGGGCTATTTTAACTAGAATATTTTAACCAGAATATAGTCACTCGCTGAACTAACGGGTTTGCGCAGTGAACAGTTGCGGTAGTTCGGTCTATCACTGATTGAACAGACGATCGCAGTAGAGATAGTGTAGCGATAGCTGCTCGGCTGGCACTTATTTAGAAATTTTTCTCGATGACAACGTTAGTTATGTAGTCGTTCTTTGTCGTAATAACGGTCTGCTAATAAATTCATTCTGATATTTTAATTAGTGGAAAATACTTAGATTTTTTAACTGTATTTTAGTTGGTTTACGTGGTAACACTGCCTCGTTAAAAACACCACGACGATAATTATTATTGTAATAATTTGGGCGCATTCATTTGGTGAAGGTAGTCAAAATTCTTCCGCTTTGGCGTTCGAAACGGGAGAGGTTTTGAAAGAAATGAATACTATCTGGCCGGGTTTTCGACTACAGGCTTTCAGAATATAATATTGGTTTTGGTCAGTCTTTTCTGGTTTGCCGGCTCTGGTGTATCCCATTCGTGGCAATATAGATCTGAATCTGGATACAGTCATATACTGAATTAATGGTGTCTATCAAGAAGTTGCGTTTGTATAATGTCCAAAGGAGCAAAGTTGCTTATCTCATGACCTTTCGTTTAATTGGTGATGGATTAAAAGAGATTGCTGAATTGGACACTTATTTAGCATGATGTTCCTTGACTACAGATAGTCAGAGACTCAGATACACAGTAGAATAAAGTAGATTCGAAAAGCAGTTTTATGTGAAACTGTATAAATAGAAAATATTTATGGAAAATATCATTAAATGAAAGTAACTGTGTAGAGTCGTACATAGTACTGTACATGTACTGTACTGTACATACTCTGTGCCGAAGCAGTGACATCGAAAAAGAAAATCTATAAATTCTGAAAAATAAATGAACAAGTTTACATGTAAACAGATATACATAATTAAAGGGTCGTGTTTGAAATGTAAGTAAAACCGCAGACACCGATGTCGAAGGATACATTTAAAATCACAGAAACAATCAGCCGACTAAATCACCCGGTCGATGAGTATGCGTGTCAAAAGGAATTGCGGCGGAATGTAGCGTCAATGGGTGAAAAATCTGTGATATACTGTATTTTATGCCGGTGTCGGCGGCAATGTATATTAATACGCACACGACAACAGTTGATTGCACCTGAAAATTCTGCTGGCTGGACAGAATTCGGTTTGGATGGTAAACGGAAACGATGTAGAGCGTCGAATGGCCCCGGATACAAACACCGTGTCAGCACATTGCCACACCGTGCGCGCTGCTTTCCCATTATCAGTTCAAGTGTCCCTTTTTACAATCCGATTACTTTGTGCTTTGATTAGATCAACTCATACGGTGAATAGCCGGCTACTGCGCTGGCTGTTGCCAATATGCCAATGATAAGACGATGCAAAATGTGTCTATATGACTCTTTAGCAGGCTTACCCAATATTAGCCGAAGAAACTGGATACCCGTGTAAATAGGTAAAATATTCACCGGCAGTTTGAGTAGCGTGTAAAATATTCAATCAGCAAAACTACACAACTGCCGGGTTTGTAAGCACTAAAAATTTATATAGCAGTTATGTTTACTGTGCTTCATCCAGTTCAATATAAATTTTATTTTTTTTAGTACGGCATAGAAAATTTTTTAAAACACATTTCCGAAGTTGTTTTTCTTTGAGTTTTACATACTTTGTATAAGATATACATGTACAATGCATATATCGTTTTCTACTTTCTGTATAAGTTAAGGTTAATTTTGTCGTCCGTCAGAGACTTAATAACTTACTTCCGAAGATTTTACTAGATTTCATTAAGATCTTATTATTTAAAATTTATTGATATTTGATCAGGAAATCTGAAAATTTCTGTTACATTTTACGATTACATTTTTCTTTTCTTTTTTTTTCTGTCATTTTCTGTTACATTTTTCTGTTACAAAATAACGATTCGTTGCGTATTCGAAATAAAAATAGTACCTAATCCGTCCGGATCACTTCAGATTTTATTAAGGTCCTATTGCTTAAAACGTATTACGGTTTAATCAGCAAGAATCTCTTCGCCTCCCAAAAAAAACAGCATCACCGCTAAGACAAGCAATAAAAGCAAATGAGAATTTAATGGTCTCTTTTAACGACGCACAACATGAATCGGCGAACGTGAACGACCGGCGTGCACGCGGCAAACTGTGTATACGGAATATTGTTGCAGTCTTATCGCTCCTGTCAGCGACAACACGGGCCCGGTGCATATAAAACGGGTGTTCCGCGTGGAGCCCTTTTATACACAACCGGTACCGCCTCGTACACGAACACCATTCCAGTGGCACATTGTATCGAACACCATTATTTGCCGGGCTCGTATAAGTAACTGCATTACCGCAGGTTTTCTTATCAGTCGCGCGTTCCTCCGACTGTATTCATGTATCCTTCGTAGTTTCAATGGATTACTTATTTGTGTGTTGATGTAGGACTGCAGCGAAAATATTGTCGTGGATGTGTATGAATACCGTTAACCACCTGAAATGCTAATACGACAAAATTCACACTGTCCGAGCTGTTGTTGCAAACTTTTTCTGCTGCTACAACAGCAATGATACATTTAAAGTTGCCGACAAAATTATACACAATATACGGCATGAAACGACCATATAATGTGCGCGTGGACAATCTTGGACTTTTACGGGAGTATATCACGATTTTTGTTTTTTTCTTCTCCGGATATTGAATCGCGATTTCGTGTGTTATATATCACAATCTTTGGATAATATTTATCGTGGCACTGAATTTTTTTAGGTAAGTACTCGTACAACTTTTAATTTTGTCACTGCAATAACTCTTATATAAAAATAGGGTACCAGTAAAATTTGATTTGCGTTCATATTTACATGGCCGCCTTAACAAGCGTTTGCATGAATTACAGTCCATTAATAATCTCGCCGGCTTTTTACTGTTAAGCAAAATTTCATGCACGTGGCGCGCCTTAACAAATATGTATTTAAATGGATCAGTATTAACATTGCTGTATTTTGCATCAAAGGTAAAAATATTTCCTTGCACTACTGGCCGCAGAAAAATATTATAATATTCTATATCAATTAAGTCTTTATGTTTTGTTTGCTGTGTGTAATCATACGTATTACAAGATGCGCAAAAAATCTATCGTTTACAAACAGTGCCTGTATAAATCGATTTACAAATTTACAGTATGTTTTCTGTCAAGTGCCCAGAAGAAGTATAAACCGGCAACAAATAATAATTAATTTTATTACTGAGATGAATAAACTGCAGCGAGTCTGTTATTGACCGGCATCGTGATTTGTCAGTGGCACTGGCTATTAGGCCAACAATTGTGTATATATATGATTAGCTCTCACAAGCGGAAAGGAGGGAAAAAGTGTTAGCGCGCGCGAGTGCCATTAGTCATTTAGCAGCTCCCGGTCGCACCGGGACCTGTACAATATTATACGCCGGGCTGTGGGGCCAATTACTAGCCGTGACCCCCTGCCGACCGAGTGTTTCATTATACTGCATCCCGGCGCTGTGCTCCCAATTGGCCAGGTTACGCACTTCCGCTCTTCAATTTCCCCCATCAACACACGCGGCACTATATAGTGCAGCGCAATATACACAGTATTATGTAGATGAAAAGTGCATTGATTTATTGGATCATGATGTGGCACAGCGGGACCCGGCTCCGCGCTATGCCGAATTTGGATACAGGGTGACGGAAATTTAAAGTTTTATTTCTCGCTCACTTCGCGGAAAAGTTTGTTGCGTCGTGCGAAGTCGTGCTGGGTTAACGGGGACAAGTGATATTGTGTCTTTATCATATTGTCCGCTTGGCAGATTAGACCGACATTTCTGATTATCTGTAGCAGTTGATTAACGCCACACGTACATATGCGGAATTTTAAATACAACAATAAATACTGTAACAGTTAAACTACTCAATGAACAAATACTAATCACTATGAAAATGCCGAATAATATTATTTTTTCGTTAAAGCTCACTTTCAACACGCTATAATCCAGAAGCTGCCTACAGCCTACCTGTATTTTATCTTTTTTAAATAATTTTGGAGAAAAGATTCAAATACTCCACACAGTTATTTATATGATGTATCTGCATGTCTATTATTACTATTTAGAGTACGCCTGATATCAGTTTTTCAGTACAAAAATTATTTTTTCGCCGCTTTCGCTAAATTTTCCCATTTAGAAAGACATTAATTTTACCGAGGCAACAACCTACGCAGTCACATTGGTCGCGTGTCCTTATCACGCGCCATTTTTATTGTAATCAGCTTCCAATTGGATATGGCCAACAAAATGACCGACTATCACTTTACAACCCGCCACTGTATACACCAACAATACCGCTTCTCTGTAGTGCACACTGCCTTCCATCGCACACAAGCGCACTCCTAGGCCCAGCTGATTGTCCCCGGGAACAATCAATGGGAAGAAAACGCATTCAGGGCAGCGCGCGCGGAACCAATGTGAGTGCCTATTGGGGCCCGCTTAGCGTGGAATCAATTGGCCTTTACGAGATGGTCCCGGTTGGCAAGTGGGCCATGTCGAAGACGCCGGGTTCTGCTGCGTACAAATGCCTTATATGTTTGTGTATATACATTTCATATATTATGTGAGTATAATGTATGAAGCATCCATTAGACATCCAGTGGACGCCATGTTTCACACAAACAGCACACCTATTATACGTACATTATATATAGATATAATGTACAATGCATATAATTATATGCTATATATGTAAAACGGGTATATAGTACATATATTTACATATATTGCACATAGTTGTATGTATATATTACATGTTTTGTACATAAGTTTAAAATTTATTATGTATCATTAAACATCCGGTGAACGACTCATTTCAACAAATACTATATATATAATGTGCATACATTTTATCTATAAGAGTACATTGTATGGAGCATCATCAGGCATCCGGTGGACGAGCACAGTTGGCGTTTCCTGTTAGGTGCGTACAGCTGCACACGCTCGGCTTTTTGAGACCAACAAACACCCGTGTCAACATTGACCCGGCCCCGCGGCTGGCACTTATTTTCCCGGAATATCGACGGACGCTGTCGTGGCACGCAAATTGGCGTGCTGTATTGTACATTGCGTGGAGCATCTTGACTATGTTTTGGAGTCTAGAATGACGCTTTATGCCAATTGATGCTGTTCATGCTCGATTCGCCGGTTGATTTGGCGTGAATGCATAAGCATTTTACGGGAAGGTTATGGTTGTGAATCTGTGACCATAAAAACTAGTTGAACATTATATGAAGTGTGTATATAAATACAGCGAAGTGTTTGGTGGTTGTACATAATTAAGTGGTTATCAGCTCGATGTTTTTCGTTCTAGCTTTTTCCTTCATTATAATTTGTAATAATTTATTTATGACAAAATCATATTTTATGAAGAAGCTAAAGTATTACAGTTTTAAGTTTAAAAAAATCAGTATTTCGTACAACGATACATTTGGTATTTTATGAATACTTGTCTAGTTATTTTTTTGGTAACGATTATTGAAAAGGGGTACTTCTACCGAAAATCGCTGTCAAAAAACTATTTTGATCAGTATAAAAATTCGAGTCCTTTAAATTTAAAAATCCCAAAAATGACTGTTAAAATAAAAGAAAAAAACCGTAATTTAAGTTCATGTATATCTGTACTACAATATAAATATAAAATTACGTAATTTAAAAAAATTATATAATTTTTTTCTGAAACGTTAGAACTTTTTTAAACTTCGACAGATAGCTTGCGACTTCTTGTATTGTTTGGTGGGGGAATAATATCTGTGTGGCGCAACGTATGTTCAACCGCGACCTTCATGAAAATTATAATAACACAAAAATTTTTAAATGCCAGCTTTTTGTACACGTACGTACGCCGTCCCACCCGGCAAAACGAACTCCCGGCGATCTGCGCTCATGCAACCGGGGAGTGTTTTCTGACAAGTGCCAGACAGCAGCAATGGGCGCTGCGTATAACGCTTCCACATAGAGCGGAATACGAGCGTGTAAGCAGTTTTCCGTTGGTGCCCGGGCCATCTGTGCCAGGATGAAGAAAATGTCAAGTAGCTCTCTCTTAACGCCAGTTGTGTGTATATTGGCAGCGTGTAAGTGCGAGAAAAAAAACCACGCGCTGAACGCACAGTGTGTAAGCGTGTAGTCTGCCGTGATGCGATAATATTATCGATGCCGGTCGGGGATAAATGATAATCACCGGGATGCCCCGGTGTATCCTCCACATGGACTAATGAATACGTATTGATGGGTGGTATTGTTTGGCTGTTGCGATAGTGTAACGGCGGATTTGGTGTATACGTGACTGGACGCTCGGGAACAACGTAAGTTAATGATCGCTGTATAGCTAACCAGTATATAACGATTTTCATGCGGGGGTCATTATGTAAATGTTGGTCAACATGCTAACTGATGATCGACTGATAAGTGTCGTGACAACAGTGAGCAAACAAAAACGTGTTAGGGAAGCCGAAACGGTCTGAATCCGACCGATTTTTCTGGCAAACGTTGACGGTTTTTTTGCATTCCGGACATTTTTCATAATATGGGTTCGCGTACAGGATACCAGAGACACGCTACTCTTCGCGTGGTGCCACGGGGCAAAAACTCTTCAAAAATTGATTGCGTGATAATTATTGTTTTATACAAGTTTGTACACGAGATTAATAGACAATTATCAACTTTTCTAACGCAGAGAATTTCCTCTCTTGGGAGTGCAATACACGAATTCGTAGTGTGAAAGTGTCCGGACTGCGATAAAAGTACATTGATTGTTCAATATATCGCCGCATCGGATCTAGATGCGATCATCCCGTTAAATTGCCGGTAGAATATTAGAAGTTCAGGAAGAATAACCAAGATTGGTCGACGTATATGCCTGTATTGGACTCAATCAAAAATTATCGGAAGTCAGAGATTTATTGAAGTATTTGCCGGTCACTGTCTGCCTGTCGATCTGTGATTTGAGCATGCGCAAGAAACAGCAGCAAAGGTTACATAAGAGTACATAAAAAACGCAGCGAAATCAGCGAAATCTTGTTACAAATTGTTGTGGTATTTCAGTTGTAGCGTATTATGTCTGTGATGCAGATAGAAGTATTCCTTTTTTTAAAATTTGCGTATCTTCGACGGAGTTATAATACCGGTTGTGTCATATTAATCTAAAGGGAAAACGTCGATAACTGCGACACAAGTTACATAATCTTAACATAACCTTATTTTTTATATATAAAATTACGCTGAATTTACGCTGAAAGTTTTGTAACGCTGCTGTGGTTTTCTTATAAAACATATTACTTTGTATAGCATAGATAGCAGAGTTTCCTCCTTAAAATAAGGCGTATCTTCGACGGAGTTGTAATAGCGGCTGCGCAGTAATCGTCTAAAGGAGGGGAACGTCGGTCAGCGATTAGCATTATTCATCCGGCGTATATATGTTTGTTATGCATGAGAAGAGTTTGGTATACAATGTTGTCTTTCAAGATGATACTCGGCTGCACACACACACATACACAGCGTCCAACATTTAATTCCAATCAATCCCGCTCCCCGCTTGTCAGCTCCCGTTATCCGCCTTCGGTCAACATTCTTATACCCCGGCCAACAAAGTCAATAGGCCCCGAATGTGTTCGTTAAGATTTGCTCAACCACTTTTTTCATCTCCCAGCATCCAATCAGCCCCCGAGAAAAAATCCAATATAAAACCGAATCCTTCACGATAAGACGATACA